TAGACCCGTAATCTACGCGCTGCCTCAGCAAATGTGAGATCCGAGCAACTATAGATTCTGTATTGCAGTGCAGACCTTTAATCTACTACGTGCAGCCTCGGCAAACGCGAGATCCTAGCTACAGAATCTTTATTGCAGAGTAGACCCATAATCTACGCGCTGCCTCGGCAAACGTGAGATCCGAGCCACTATAGATTATGTATTGCAATGCAGACCTTTAATCTACGCGCTGCCTCGGCAACGCGAGATCCCAGCTACAGTGTATTTACAGTGACATATATAGACAAATATTTACAGTGACATCAATTTTGTGTTTTGCTAAGTTTGATGCTTCAGTATATGTAGATTATTTTTTCATATATTTCTATGGAATAGTGAAGAACAGATTTAAAGGCTTTTATTGGGGAAAAAAACCCCCAAACATATTTATGCAAAGAGTCAATATTTATATAGTGTTGTTGACCCATCTTCTTCAAAACCTCTGCAATTCGCTCTGGCATGCTGATATCAGCTTCTGGGCCATATCCTGACTGATGGCGATCCATTCTCGACTTATTACTGCTCAGAGTTTATCACAATTTTTGGACATCTGCTTGTCCACTCACCTTTTGAGGATTGACCACAGGTTCTCTATGGGATTAAGACCCAGGAAGTTGCCTGGCCACGGATCCAAAATTTCAATGTAATGATCTCTGAGCCACTTCATTATAACACTTACTTTGTGACATGGTGCTCTTATCATACTGGAAAAATGCACGCATCATCCACAAAATTGCTCCTGGATCGTCGAGAGAAATTGCTGTTGCAAATCGTTTTGATATTATTCTTTATTCATGGCAGTGTTTTGGGGCAAAATTGTGAGAGAGCCCACTCCATTGGATGAAAAGCAACCCCACACATGGATGGTCTCAGGATGCTTCACTGTTGGCACGACACAGGACTCATGGCATTCACCTTTTTTCTCCGGACAATCGATTTTACAGATGTCCCAAACAGTTGGAAGGGGGTTTCATCAGAGAAAATAACTTTGCACCAGACTTCCGCTGTCCAATCCTTGTACTTGTTGCAGAAATTCAGTCTGTCCTTGATGTATTTCTTGGAAAGAAGTGTCTTCTTTGCTTTCCTTCTTGACACCAGGCCGTTGTGCAAAAGTCTAGGCCTCACTGTGCGCGCAGATGCACTCACAACCATCTGCTGCCAATACTGAGCAAGCTCTGCACTTGTGGCACACAATTCTGTTGCAGACTCCTCATAAAGAGACAGTCCTGGGGTCTCATTTATAAAGCGTGCGTACGCACAAAACGGGGCTGGAAACGTACGTACGCCAGTTTCCACGCAAAGGTTGTGATCTATAAAAAAAAAAAAACTTGACGGGAGAATGTGCGCACCTTTAAGCAAACTTTGAGCCGTGCGTACGCACGTTTTGGAGACGGAGCAGTTTGGCGACACCGATGGTGAGCTGGAGAAAATCTAAAGAAAATTATACATACAGTATACAGAAAGATAATACAAATATAATTTCACTCACCAAGCCTATCACATGAAGCAAACATCCATCCCTTTTTAAATGTCCGGATATTTAAAAAAGGGTCTCGGTCCGGTCGCTTTGTTCTTTAGTGAAACTGACGCAGCCTATCTAAAACCGTAAATCTTCATTATAATCATAAATACAGTGTTCTGTGAAATATGTTCACAATAACAGTTTAAATAATTAAAACTATGTTTTACTTCTGATATAAACATTTAGATTAAATATGCCATTCTGATTAATGGAGTTAGACACTTAAATTACATGAAATCATTTCTGAGAAGTTACAACATTTTTTTATATTCAATAAATAGAAATATTTGTTGTGGATGCAATGCTTTCAAACACTTTTCCTCTGGCATGCTGTGTTTTAATGTTTTAACTACAGAGATAATTGCTTATCATGATAATAGCAGATTGTCTGAGAAAATAGTTTCGTCCAAATAATGCACTACAAGGTCTATCTGTTTCCATTAAAAATATAAATCAATTAAAAATACTCTTTGGCCAGTGGAAAAGATTGAGAAAAACTTTCTCTGAAATGTATTTTACACTATTTGATTTATTTATTCAAAAACAAGGCAAGGATATAGGCTACCAAATTATTTTTTATTAATGTAACTAATGTGACGGCACATCCGTATTTCATATTTTCCAAATGTCTTGTACCGTTAAACATGTTATCACGTGGATGAATAATCATATGCAAATGATATGCAGATGAGGATATGCATAGTAAAACTAGGCGTTGAAGCTCCATATATGGTTGTTTCGAGGAGGAGACGCATGTGCGCACAATCTTCCGCTGACTGGGATTTATAAAGTGAATTCTGCGCAGGTTCTGGCGTACGCACGGTTTTATAAGTCAGAATATTTGTTTGCGTACGCCATTTTTGGCTTTTGGACGCACGTACACTTTTAGTAAGGATCCTACGCACAGTTTTATAAATGAGACCCCTGGTGCTTGCTGGACAATCTGGGATGTCCTGAAGCCTTCTTCACTGCAGTTGAACCTCTCTCTTTGAAGTTCTTGATGTTCCAGTAAATGGTTATTTCATGTACAATATTCTTTGCAGCAATTTCCTTGCATGTGAGGCCATTTTGATGAAGAACAAATTACATGCCAAAGATTAACACTCAGCCTTGTTCAAATCTCAAAACCATTAATAATGAGCAATAAGAAGCACCACTAATAAGGCAGGAATTTCTTTTAAAGCTTTTAAAATGACTGTAATGTTTTCTAGTATTGATTTGAATGTCTGTTGTGTCCTTCTCTGCTTTTGAAAAGCCAGTAGAAACACTGTCTTTCAGACGCACTCTGTTATCATCCCGTCCACTTCACATGAATTACAATCTGTTATACACAAAATCTGAGAATCCTTAGAGGACAGACACAAAGTGGAAGGCTGGGGTGGCTTTTTCTGAGTTAAAAAATTTAAAAGCATTCTCAAATCTTCAGACAACAGCCTTTTCACTCACATTGTCATAATTTGGCAGTTTGTGGCACAGATGCAAAAGAAAATTGTTCATGACATTCATTTTGGCACAACACAGTTGGAATTATTCTGAAAATGGACATCAACAGATCACATAAAAACATTTTCTCAGAGGAGGTGACCATGAAAGAGCAAAAACAAAACACTACGGGCTTTGTGGAGGGAGCTGTTTTTTTCGTTTGCAACATCTTTTTTAATTTAAAAAGCAGACTACCAAACAAGCCAAAATAAAAAGCGCTATTCAGGATAAGTGCTTTTTAATATAATAACACTTTTAAATAATTAAATATTTATTAGTGGTGTTTGCTGTTATCTTTAACCCTATAAAGCCTACAGTATCATATTTGTTATGCAAATCTAATATATGCATGATCGAAACTGCACTGGAAAACCTGTTGTACACAATCTACTATATGCCTTCTGTCATCTGATTTATAGTTTATACTTTTTTAGTAAGTAAATTACCTTTTAGTAGAATTGTAAATATGTCCAACTTCAGGTTGTGGTACACATTTATTTTTGCTGTGAAATCAAAAAGAAAAAAGAAAAAAGTACTTTCTTATTGTTAGTAAAAAAAAAATAAGATTAATACTTACTGGACTGAAACAACTTAAGTTGACTTGTAATACATTTTAACATGAAACAAAGGATGTATGGATAATCAAGTATTTGATACATCCGGCTTTTAAGAAACATTTATATGTTTATCTCTTAATCATCATTACATTGCATTGCATTATATTGACACCCACAATAGAAAGTGCAGAGCTTTGATCATAAAATAAAGCATTTAAATATCACCTTGATCTTGAAAACTGATATTTTAAATGCATTTAATGTAAACAGTCTTACATTATATAAAGATCTCACTGATTTGTATTACAAGCTATTAGAATTTCATCTTACTTTTTGGCCATATAAATATCAACAAATGTATCAAATTGCATGTTTTTGCTCTGTTTGGGAGTCTAAATAAAATGCAGGTGTTTTGTATTCCTCGTGCTTGAGCTCCATATTCTCACCATATCAAAGTATATGAACCATAAAATAGTGATTTATCATACACGTATCCAAACTTTTTTCACATTTTTTAAAAATAATTTGTCTAAAGGTTCCATTTAAAAAAAACATTTTTCAGTCTATTATTTGAGGCTTTACAGAGTTAAACAACACAAAAAAAGATTTTTATTTATATAAATAAAATCAATAAGGACTTTGCAAACTCCACCGCTTTATGTCTGTCCTTAAAGGGACAATGTGTACTTTTTTAGATATTTTATTTTCTAAAATCAATATTTTTATTCATAAATATGTCCTCAATGGTGTACAAATACCTCTGCCAATTATCTGACTTCTCCTCGTAAAAGAAGAATTTATTATCTTTATATACATGGGACGGGTAGGTCCATGGAGGCTTCCATGTAGTTCCGCCATCTTGGAAAAACTATAATAGCAGAGAGGGACAAAAAGTACTAGGCCAACGTGTTTCCACAACGCGTTTTCGTTCAGAGCCAGCGTGACGTAACTGAAAGCAGCAGAAACGGAGGAGCAGAGCAGTGAGAGGCGCTTGTCACTGCCCAGACAAGTTTCACAGTCAGTAATTCATACTGTAACATTCGTTTGTTCGTTGTGTCAAGTTGCAGTTTGTTTGAAATAACAAACCTGTCCACCCGAAGGAACACTCGAAGTGCTGTTAGAAGACATCCTGTCATAGCTTTTTGGTACATAACGGCTACCGTAGATGCAACACGCATTTAAAAAAAGCTAGGCGCTGGAGAGCACAATTCGTTTGAATGCAAAATACAATTTCACCGCTAGATGGGAGAAATTCCTACACATTATCCCTTTAAGCTGATTGATTAAGTTGATTGGATTAGTTGAAAAGATTCAAATGTTCTGTTTGGCTATGTGTGTGATCAAAATAGTGTATCTTTAAACAGTATCTTTAAAATTTGTCTTTGTGTTGAATCCCACAGAGCGTGAAAATCCTGACTTACAGAGAGCCTCAAAACCCCGAGTACAAAGACTTCGTTTCCAGACTGAAGACAGATGCCATGGACATGTTTAACTTCAGCGTGGAAGATTCTCTGGTAAGATTTTTCAGTGGCAACTGTGCTTTTCAAGAGTAATGAAGTACAGATCATGCAACCAAGTCAGTGTTCCGATCTGTATTTTTATTTTGTGTCCGCAATATTGTAGCTAAAAGCTTCTTCTCAAACTACTGCTGAACAGTGATATTAATTAACAAAATTAATGGTTTAAAATAATTTAAATTACAAAAAGCAATATAAATGGTTACCCTTGTGAAAAAGTACACTTTAGCATACTTTTAAAAAGAGTATACTTTTAACAGAAATAATATACTATAAAATGAATATGCTTAAGTGTAAACTTAATGTAATATTTTCAGACATTTAATTTCATGTTAATTAATATTAAATGCAATTAGATTGACTTTAGAGTGTTTTTGACCTACTTGAGTAGGACTTAAGTACATCTTTATATGTAGTTTCATAATTTTGTTTTCTTTATTAAAATCAAGTTCTATACGTGTGCTTTAGTATGTTAGTCAACACATCAAAATAAGTGTACTCATTTCAAGCACAACAAAAATTATTAAAACAAAATTATTTAAAATGTAAAATATAAAGTACATTATAAAGTACATTATTATAAAAACATTATTATAAAGAGGTTTTTATACTTTTTACATTTTTTAAAACTGTACTGAAAGTGGCATGAAAGTGTTTCTTTAAGTACATTGGTGACCTTTTCTATTAATATTATATTATCTGCAAGTGCAATTTTCAAAAGGTGTACAGCAAGGAAAAAATGTGTTAAGACATTGAAAATAACTTATATTGTTTGTTTTATATTGATGCTGAGCACTTTGCATTCAAGATCGGTGCATTTACATTTCAAATATTGGCAGTTATTTAACATCTGACTGAATATTACTAAATGGATATCTGCTATGTAAGCAATAAGCTACTCGAGGCTAGTGCTGTATCGTGAATAAGTCACGGCTGAAGGGCGTTGTTAGGCATGAGCACGACGCGAAGCGACAGCAACAGAAGTTACATACATTATTTCGCCAGATGGTGGCAAAGACTGTCTTTATGAGTGAGTCAGTCAGTAGAGAAGACTTTTGTATAGAAAACTTTTTCTTTTTATTATGAATATAGAACTGACCTGAAGGAAAATGCTATATATACACTGTAAATGCAGGTACGCTCGCTTACTCTATCTCTCAATACTAGCTTCAATGAACAATATCAATGTAACGAAGCAGGCAGGAATGAAGCGGAGAGATGAATCCAATTGCAAGCACATTTAATAATAAAACAAACAAAAGAAACTCAGACTAGGAACACAGAAAAAAGCAACCATTACAACATTAAGAACTCACAAGGACTGAACTAAAACACAGGGCTTAAATACAGAGGACCGGGTGAGTGAAACAAGACACAGCTGGGCAGTTAACTAAGAACACAGGTGGAAAACATGAACACAAACGAGGAGCGGGAAAACTAGAAAGGACTAAACCAAACACACAATAAAGGGGGGAACACAAGACAGACAGGAACAAGACATGAACCCACATCGTGACATAGCCCCCCCCCTATGGGCGGCTCCCGACGCCCATCAAAACAAAAAAAATAGTTCAGGAGGGTGGTGGTCGAGGTGGTCCCGGGGGAGGGATGGAGGGCCAGGCCCGCACAGGGGAACGGGACCAGGACATAGTCATGGTGGACCTGGGCCATGGAGCGTGGGCAGACCAGGCTGTGCAGGCGACCAGGGTGGAGCAGGCAGTTCAGGTGGCCACGGTGGAGAAGACCCTTCGGGCGGCCAGGGGGGTGAAGACCCTTCGGGCGGCCAGGGCGGTGAAGACCCCTCGGGCGGCCAGGGCGGTGAAGACCCCTCGGGCGGCCACGGCGGTGAAGACCCCTCGGGCGGCCACGGCGGTGAAGACCCCTCGGGCGGCCACGGCGGTGAAGACCCCTCGGGCGGCCACGGCGGTGAAGACCCCTCGGGCGGCCACGGCGGTGAAGACCCCTCGGGCGGCCACGGCGGTGAAGACCCCTCGGGCGGCCACGGCGGTGAAGACCCCTCGGGCGGCCACGGCGGAGAAGACCCTTCGGGCGGCCACGCCGGAGAGGACCCTTCGGGCGGCCATGGTGGTGGCCTACTGCCCCCCCCCCCCCCCCCCCCCCCCCCCAAAAAATTATTGGGGGTAGCTACGGGGTCGTAGCCTGGAGAAGGCACCGGCTCAGGACCGAACCCCGGCTCAAGAGAAAAAGGCAGAACCAGCGGTGAAGAGGGCTTTAGGCTGGGCAGGACCAGCGGTGAAGGAAACTCTGGGCTGAACAGGACTGGCGCAGGATCAGCGGGCTCTGGCGCAGGATCAGCGGGCTCTGGCGCAGGATCAGCGGGCTCTGGCGCAGGATCAGCGGGCTCTGGCGCAGGATCAGCGGCCTCTGGCGCAGGATCAGCGGCCTCTGGCGCAGGATCAGCGGCCTCTGGCGCAGGATCAGCGGGCTCTGGCGCAGGATCAGCGGGCTCTGGCGCAGGATTGCAACCATTACAACATTAAGAACTCACAAGGACTGAACTAAAACACAGGGCTTAAATACAGAGGACCGGGTGAGTGAAACAAGACACAGCTCAGAGATCGACTACTTTTGACTGACAAAATTCCAGCCACTGGAAACACTAACTGATAAAGTGAGTCGTACAAAACCTTTCTTTTTAGTAAACTTTGTGTACACAAACAATGAATTCAATGCTCAAGTTCATGTGTAGAGGCCCTGGTGATACTTCGAGCACAATTTTATGTTGTCGAGCCTTCTTGGTGTTTTAAAAACAGCGATTTTGATGCTATCATAGAAGTGCCCCATGCACTCCCATTCAAAAGGCATTTTTACCTAAAACGAAAATACGGTCAATCTTAAAAGTGGCGTTTCCATTGTAATTATGCTTTTACACGAAAGTTTGACTCGGGTAGATAAACAAAAAGAGCCTAGGTTAAATTTTGGCAAGAGTTACCCTTTAAACAAAACTTTATTTTTTTAGGAGGAGTATATCTTATGTATACTGCCCACTCATATTGATTGTAAGCAAAAGTATTTAAGAAACCAGATAACCAGATAAATGCAGTAAAGTCTTGTATTGATTGTAAACAGATTTGTGGGAGTCTTCCCTTGAGAACAAGCCACTGGAATGCAATTTCTGCTCTGAAATTCGATCCTGATGATTTTTTGAAACCACATGTTTCCCATGTTAAAGTAATGTCAATCTAGTGCACACATAAGACCCCAGACTTTGAAGCTTATTCAAGAATGAGAACGGTTTCTCCAAGACGTAGTACATTGTCACCTTGACTTAATGGATTACAGCTGCACACTAACTCTCAGTTCACCTCTCATGTTTCTCATGGAGAATACCCCAAGGTTTAGACAATACGAATGAATAGCACCTACTGATTGCATTTTTTACTTGCTTACATTTTCCAAGTTGTTTTAGCATCCAAATCACTAAAGCAATTATGTAAATTAGATCAACGGACAGACTTACAAAATCAGTGTTGATGGCAATTTGCACAAAGCAGTTCCTCAGCATTCAAGCCAGTTTTGAGTGCTAGGTTTGTGAATGATGCCGCAAACCTCCACAATGTACTATACTATAGCTCTCCACCACTGCAATCCAGACACCTGAGTTATTTCTCAGTGCCCCTATTATGCTATTTTTAAGGCCCCTAATTTTGTTTTGGAGTCTCCTACAACGGGTTAACATGCATCAAAAGTCAAAAAACTGTTTCATTTTCTTATAATATACATTGCACATCACATTTTTTAATGATTCTTAAACGACCCGGTGGATGAATTAGTCTCTCTAAATCCCTGCTTTCCGAGAGCCTGCTCTGCTCTTATTGGCCAGATGACCCAGTCTGTTGTGATTGGTCTACAGCTTACAGTGCTTGTAGGAAGCTGTACTTCCATTACCATAACTGAACATCAGCTCTGTCCGGAGGCTTCCTCAGTCCTCAGCGATTGTACACATTGTAAAAACAGTAACGTCGATAGCGTCGTTTTTACCATATCAATCCGGGTGCAAGTCCGATGATGAAACATTGAAAGAACTAGTTATTCAACCCTAACCTTCATTGCAAGGACGACTCGAGCAGGACGTTTCTCAGTGATATGTTACTTAGTTTGAGGTACATCATGAGATGTTGCAGCTGTCCTTCCTCACCATCAGCATTAACAAGTATATGTCCATCAACAAACCGAATTTATTGCAGTGCACATGCGGCAACTTTATCAGTACGGTGCATATGTTTGCCCAGCGCTAACGTGTATGACTGATGTAACAAACGTTTGTAAAACCAATCTTCCTCCATCCTTTATCTTTACTCAAAGTAGTGAGACCGACAGACAATCTGCATTAATATAAACAGTTTTAGGTAATAGTGGCCCACAGCTGCTTAGCAGAAGTATTTCAGTAAGACAGTAATAACGCGAGTTAGCCGGTTAGCCAAAAACGTACACCATATAAAACACACAACTAGTATTTTGAACAATAATTATTCATACTTACAGGTTGTGATTCTGAGGAGCAAGCTGGTCCAAATAAACTGGGTACTTATCCATCTTTCAAAAGCAAGCATTTTGCTAATCCTGCGTTGAACTCCGAGATTTGAGAAGCAGTCATCAGTAAAATGATGTGTTGTGGGCTGGGCAAGTTGTTCGCGGGCGGACAACGTTCAACATAGGCTGGCATTATGCAAATTTATCTTCTAATGACGTTGAACCGTAAAGCAGTAGGATTCGAAACACAAACGACTCGTAAAGGCGATTCAGAGTCGATTCTTTCTTTTGGGAGACAATAACTTTATTTACTGTCCACTTTCGACTTTACAACTTTGCAGAACGTTTACATTCACAAACAGCTATATTACACACTGCATGAAAGGGAATATTCTGAAAACCCTAATAGGGGCACTTTAAAAGACAAAAGTAGTGAGAGTGATAGTATGCATCAGCACGTGTGCGATTCAACGGTCCAAACTTAATGAGAATGAGTGGAATTT